GCTGTTCCTGGTTGGATTTTAATTACAAACTTTTCTGGTTTTAATCAATTTCTTAGTTTTTAAATTTTTTTTTTATTTTTAACATCTTGTGGCTCTAAATAGATACATATCTACTTCTTAAAAAATGCTAGACGCGTACAAGCTCAAAACTTTCGTAATTTGCATTTGTAAGCGGCTTGTATGTATTTGATGATGGTCAACTCTTTAGCTATTAGATATCTATACTAACTATAGAAATATATTAACTAAATGTAAATTGACTACGTTTAAATGTCAGCTGTGCCAGCACGTTCGAAGCGCTCTATTTTGCATATCTAATGAGCATTTACATGCACGTTAATATGTTTACTAACAAGTTCGCATACATATATTTATGTATGTACTTACGTGTATGAACTGTGTCTTTTTACTGACCTGCACATGTCCTTTATGACACAACCAAGTTCAATACAAATCTCGGTAATTCGTATGCGATTTGATTATCTTCTATTACCATGTCCCTTTCCAATACCATTCGCCAAACCCACATAAGTGTCTACATAGATCGACGCAACCACGCTCCACAACTATTACAAATGCGTCGTTTTAGCGTTGAAAAAGAAACTGATTATTATCGCATAACCACTTCATGGCTTAGCGCTCAGACTGCTCTCGTATACTCGTACACCTACTTCCGTTTCCCTTGGCTATGGCTGCTACTAAATATTTACTCGTAATCTAGCAAACTTATGCACGACCACAGCCACTTCACAACAAGGACACACTTGTCACTTGCTCTGTGATCAGAAGTGTGTGTTTGTAGTGCTCGTATGTATATACATATGTACGTGTGACTGTGTTAGTGTGCGAATGGCCATATCGATGGCAATTTGTTTCCATACGAATTGCTTTCAATTAGCATAAAAATGTCGCTCATTCATTCGCTACGCTTTGTGTGCGCACATAAACGCACAGTTAGTACATTGGCAGACTGTTGCTTTGAGGGCATGCACGTACGCGTATGTAAGTATGTACATATGTATTGGGGTCCTGATTGTGAGTGCCGATAATTTTTTCTTCATTGAAGGCAGCTTGAGTCTGTGCCACATTGTTCCATCTATCGACTTCCAGTATACTCAAATCTTCATTTTCTTCAGTTGGTCTATGAATTCTCCATGCAGCCATAAATGCGTTTGCATTGACACACCAACAATTCAGCATACAGCAGACAAAAAAGGACATATTCTTCCTGTACATTCCAAATATATACTAGTCTTTAGTGCTATGCAAATCGACTATGTAAAGTAAGAGCAGATTTTCTATTTGGAAATATATATTCTTCATCCTTTGAGTGTCCGCAGGCATAGGAGCCATCAAACTCAGACCTGCGTTAGTCTATTGTTTGCATGTTCGTATCTACATGAATTTGATACTCTCTTTTCTTTTCGTATGCCTTTCAATAATATTTCTACTTTTCCCTTCCGGTTCATTTCATTGCTTCTTTGTTTTCATAAGGAAATTAGCCAGGCGTATGAATGTCAATGATGACTGCGAACCACTTCTTTTACATAGACCGATTTGGATGGACACGTAGTTGAGTAGGCGCAATTTGTATACCTTTCATGAACATGAAATGGTATTATTACTTTGGTCCGATACCAGAATAAGGAGAGATAGACCACGAAATGTATTTCCAATTGCCCGCCCTGTTTTCCAGAAAACCGACTGTAATTTGGTAAGCGGGTGTGTTTTTCTAATTTACTAATCATTTGTAGGAACCGGAAATGTTGGAACAGTGGAAATAACCAAGATCGGCTCACCTGTAACTTCCATACATCTCATTTTTAAGATTTGAGGTTTTACTTTAAAACTCGTAAGCTATTTTCTAAATACTCAAACAAAATCTACTGAGAAACCCGTCAAGATCAGTGCTTTATAAGTTATATTTTCCATACCACTGATTGTTCAGATATGAGTTTTTTTACATATATAACTGCTCCAGCGAAGCAAAAAGTATTTTTTTTGCCCCCAAACAACTAACTTAAAATGCAGTAATCGGTTGAAGTAAAATTTTCTGATGCTCATGGAAGGTATGAAGCCTTCGGCACAGCTGAAGTCAGCACTGTCCTTACTTGCTTTTTTTTTTGTTTAAAAACTGACTGGTTTTCCATTAGTAAAATAGAACTAAAAGGAAAAAGATGAAGATTAAAGTTAAAGACTGTATGCTTGAGTATATTCAAGTATGTTTCTGTTGTAGAATATCCACTAAAAATTTAAAATTAAAAAAAAAATGTAATTTATAATATTTAATCAAAGGTGCCAAATACGAGTCGTAAAATATCGTAAACACTAATTTAAGGAACCTCGGTGCCATCTTCGATGACTTCTAGTGATTAATTCTTTGTTTACCGGCGAGTCAAATGGCCCCGAATGAAATTTCCGTTACTCCGTTACTTTGCTTATTTTCATGTACAATAACTTCTTTGATCTCGTTATTTATTTTTTTTTAACAATTCGTATTTCTATTTTAAATCTTGTGGAAACTACCACCCCGGGTCCGTTGGACTCACATTATTATTTTCATAGGGGTCCATTGACCCCGAATGGTTGGTAATGCTAGTAGTCTCCGCGGTAGACAAAGGGTTAAAAGTCACATAATTAACTTTTCTCATTGTATTTCCTAGTGTTTTCTACCCGGTTGGCATCTTGCGCATTTCGGCGTCTCCGGGCACAATTCGACTCGTTTCCCCTGTTCAACTCTTTATATCAATCTTGCATAAGTCGCGTTTCACGTGGTGTCAGTGTGGCTCAATAAGCGCCTCCTATTTGCTCTGTGCTGGCGTGAAATTCCTGGAGTAGCAGTTGATTGTTGAGTCTCGCTGAAATCGGGGTACTTCCTATGCTGCACTGACTTTTATACGTATCTTAACCGCAGAAAGATACTGATCCGAAACAATGTATTTCCTTCTATTCTACTTACACGTGTGTGGATGTCAATTAACGCGATGTTGAAGAAGAATCATTCACGATAGATACATAAGCACTGCCCTGCATTGCAGCTTTGAACGCTCTGCCCTGATATTTGTTTTTGGCTAAATACTTTCGATTTGTATATAGTTTGTTCATTAAAACAATGAGTACAAAAACATAAAAAATAATAGTAATTTTTGAATATTTAATTAAATGTATCCTGGTCAGGATTTTTTAGCCAGCCCATTCGTAAAATATTTGTTGACTTGTTAGATTTCATAGAAAAAATATTTTATCCATTAAACAGATGGGGGAAGGTCGTGCCTTTGTCGGATCTTAGACTAAGCATTTTTCAGTCAGAATTAGCTATTTCAAAGGCCTCATCACTGGTACAGTGTAATACGATTCCTAGTCCTTATACCGACAGGCAGGCGGCTATTAAATCTTTGGTAAAGATGTCGCTGTCTTCAAAGTAGTGGCTCAAGCCGCTGACCTCCCCACGAGATGGCTGAGACATTAGCACACATATTTTCTGGGTACCTGACCATTGCGACATTCCGGGAAATTGCAAGGCTGATGAGCTCGATACAGATATAAAAACTCGTAGAAATTTTCAGTGAGAGATGGCAAATTGAACCGACTAAGAAAACTCTCATATACGTCCAAATTACCAACTCCCTACTTAATCTTAAGGAGGAAGATCGTACGCATATTGACTGGAGTTCTCACCGGACATTGTCTGATTGGATTACACGCAGCTAGACTGACAGCTAGATGACCTCGAAGCGACGAACGTTGGAAACTTATTACTACTTATTACTTTTTTGCTAAACTCAAGTCGTTCACAGGAGTATCACAAGGGACCCTGAGTCCAACTGAGTCCACTTAGGACTGCCGGCCACCTAACCTATGGATACATTCTTAATCAAGTAACAAATTTCAAATCAATCCAATAATTTTGCATAAATGAATCAAGAAGTAAGTTCAATTAAATGACGGCAAATAGCGTTTTTGTGCGCACAAGCGGCATAAATAAATATTTTTTCGTTTTCTGAAAATTTTTTAATTTGTGTTCTTTATTATTAAAGCAATATATTAAAATTGTATTTTTTAACTCTGTAATAATATCCGAATATTCCATATAAGCATTTAATAAAACCTAATATTACAGAAAATTGTTTACACCAAAAAAAAGACTCTGCCATAAACAGACGAAGTTCGCTTTCAAAAACTTTACACACATCCGTTTCCGCCTGAAAATTTGGCAAACGGAGCGTATGAAACTGGTTTATTGCACATTTCTAACGTGTAAATATGAATTTTTTTGGACTTCTTATTTTTGGATGCAACTCTGCATGTTATTGCTGCTGCCAGTTCATTGCCGGCGTCTGTTTCCGTTGTTGTGGCCATGATGGAAAAAGGTTATTGGCTAATTCGCAGAAATAACTGTATACTACAACAAGAGCAGCAGCAGCTGAAATAGCAGCAAAAAAAAACAAAAACTGCACCAACAACACGAAAATAAAGGAACATTTGCTAGGTGTGCTTCGCGAGCTGTAAATAATTTGATTTTTATGGCACACACGTGCTCTGAATACAATCCGTACACAAAGCAATTGCATCGGGGACATTTGAAAAAAAAAAATTTAAAAAAAAATATCTACGAACAACAGAAACTGAAAATGTTTTCGCGCATAAAACACGCAAACACGTGGAAAACAGCTAGCCGAAATTCGGGGGATTTTCCAAAACCTGCGAGCTAAGCCAACATAAAAAATTAGTAAATAAATATAAATTTAATGTTCAACTATTTTTTTTTTGTATTTTTTTTTTTGTAATTTTTGTATTAACTCCCAGCTTAGCAGTTGCAATTTAATAGACAAACCACAAAATAGTGAACATTTCAGCACCAACTTGATAAATAAAACTTTGTCCTGCTGAAATGTTATTAACAAAATAAAAACAAATAATTAAAGTTTTAAAACTCTACTAAATTTCTATTCATAATTAAAATTTCACAAATTTTTCGTTTGTTTTTTTTTACATTTCAGGCACCAACACACGCCCAATGAGCACTTCACAGACGTCATCCATGTCGGGACCGCAGCCGCGTTTTCTCTCGCGCGGCCATACATATCGCGCCGTGGTGGGCGACACACTGCTACTGCCGTGTCAAGTTGAAAATTTGGGTAAGTTCATGCGAGTGTGACACATTTTGCAAAAAAAAATTTGTTGCTGACAACTTAATCCTTTGAGCTTAGCTTTTGCTGAAATTGGTATTAAATGGAGTAAAATGTGTGTAAAAATGTTTTTTATTTATTTATTTTGCTTTTTTTAGTTAGTTTGCTTATTAAAAATATGAAATGGCTGCTAAATAGATAATAAAAGCAGTGCGAATTGTTTTCAAAGCATTTGCAGAAAGTGCGAATTTGATGATAAATATACGCTTTTATGGAGTTTGCTAATAAATTCAACATTTCGACGTGGCAAACAATTTCAATATCCGATATTTACGTGCTTTGAAAAAAAGTAAGTGCGCCAGGGCCACACTGGAGAAGTGAAACTTCTGTTAGAAAATCGATAAAAATTTCGACAAAAATGTCGATAACGAAACTGATAAATAATCGGTAACACAATTGATACACAATTGATAACAAAATCAATATCGATAATAAATTCGATAAAAATATCGATAATAAATTCGATAAAAACATCGATAACAAAATCGGTATATTATCGATAACAAAATCGATATATTATCGACAACAACATCGATAAAAATTTCGATAAAAATTTCCATAACAAAATCGATAAACAATTAATAACAAAAAAAGCAATTGCTTATTTTTTATTCATAATGCCCATTGACTTGTCCATTAGACCGTATGTAATAATGTTGTACAAAAATCCCAAATCGTAGAAATTTAAACTTACCTCTCGCTATTTGTATGCAGCGTAATATATCTCTCAATTAACTAGTTCCTGTCAGTCATACCAACCGTCCGTCAGTCAGTCCATTAGCTGTTGACAAGTATAAAAATATTTGCAAAGCTTCACAGAAAGTGACGGCAGAAAATTTATACACCTACCAGTTAAAAAATCGCATACACTTCCCCTTTCTCTGTCGATAAGTGTGTTTGCATTGGGAAGATATGAAAATATGTACGTAAGATATGCAAGTGTGTTGAAGTGTTTAGGCGAGACGGTAACATCCACTAATTGCCCATTACGGGGCACTTATCTAAAATATAGCATGCATATGACATACATACATATGTATACGAGTAAAAACATTAGAATGCAGGCTCGAGTGATGGACAGCCTTAGAAAATGTCAAATAAATGTATGCTAACATGTCATGCGATGCAAGCGCACATGAAAGACGCATAAAAGAGGTAAGTCCGCGTATGTATGTACGTGTGAGCGAGCACTTTTACTTGGGGAGTGTTTAAGTGTATGTGCGCGTTAGGGCAAAATGAATGCAACAAAAATGGACAGCAGTGAAATGAGTTGAAGGAGTGGCAGCATTTGTCGAGAAAAATGCAGCAAAATGGAAGGTATACCTAATAAGGATGCGGAGGAGAAGAAGGAGCACACATAACTGAGTATTGTAAGATGTAATAAAAGTGGCAATAAAAGCAACAACAAAAGCGCAGTGATGTCAAGTGTAGACGACGACAGTCTTGCCAGTCTTTCAGTTAGAGCATCGGTGTAAGTGAACGAGCGATAAGTGCGGCAAGCGACTACCTTCATAATACTTAAACTTTGTCTGTACGTATGTATGTACCTACATACATATGTATGTATGTGTACAGATGTACATACATATATGTAAGTGCATGTAGATGAGTGCTTGTCAAAGCGAGCTGAAGTTTGGCAGCTACAGTGCACTTTGTAGCATTCAACAGCTTCAGCAAGCAGATAATAGAGCGTATAAATTACAAATTGTGCAAGCAATTTAGTCGAGTCCATTTACGCTCACTAACGGCACACTTGCATCATACACATGTATGTATGTATGTATATGAAGCAGCGTAATATTTTTTGCCACACCTACACATTCGTTAACATACATAAATTTTTCCCGCAATAAGTAACGTCATTAGATCATGGCTCATGTCACATGAAATGTTAAATTGTAAAATGCTAAATGCGGACAGACAGGACTACGAGGATAGTGTGTCTGGCAGCAACTACGTTACCTAAGTGCTGCTCGCCGTGCATGGCAGCCACTTTGGCTCCACTCTTTACATTATTGTCACACTGTACTGTACTGTACTCGTGTAATGTGTTCGGTGTAATTTAAGAGTAAATGTGTTGGAAGAGGTAAGCTTACTGCATTCGTGTGTATGCACATGTGCGTCATATCTCATGGGCGATATATGTATGTACATATATACAAACTTGCAATAAATATACAAAATGCTTAAATATATAAAGTGCTGTATTTTTATATTTTTTTTACTCAGTGTTCAGAGCAAACATTGCGATTGCATTTACTACAACATTGATTACAAGTGCTAGATATTTTTGAAGGACAAATGCGACAACGCGTCTTTCTTTTTGGGAGAAGTTCAAGTGATTGAAGAGATGATCGTTGGTCTAATCCAGCCAAACCTCGTATGACTGCTAAGTGATAATTTGGCAGGCCTTTAACTATACAAATTAAACTAGCGATGCTAAAAATATGTTAGCTTCACGTTTACATACATAAACTTTTGGTGATAGATTAGAAAAAATGTTTTTTCAAAAAACAAATAATTTGGGTTTTATACGCAAATGTACTTAAAAATGTGTTCGCGATATACTTGTGTGTTGATAAGGGTTAATTATTAAATTTCATTGTCTTTAAAAAAATGATATATTTGCTATATATACGGTGACCATATTTATGAGAGCCGAATACGGGGCAAAAAATAAGTTTGTAAATTTGTTCCACAAAAGCTTACATATATTAAAGCCTTATTCAATGATCCTAGATGTATTAGCCCTGAAACAGTATCGTTATAGTAACATAACAAATTTTTAGGATAATTTTCTCGAGATTTTTATGCCGTAAAATTTGTTAAAAAATTCGTTAAATTTTAGTATAATAAAGTGCAATTTTAAGTTGCTAAGGCTTACCAATAATGTATGGCAATTTTTTTTTTTTGTTCACAGTGTTACGCATTTTTTTCATACAAAGTAAGTATGTTCGACCTTTTTTTTTTAAAGAGAAGCAAATCAGCAGCATTTTGCACTCGCACTCTATAATATTCAATTTTAATGAGTTACAAAACTGCAAACCAAGTTTTTTTCTAGAGATTCTAATTAAAAAGTTTAAAGTGTTGGTGAAACCTTGCAGAATTAATTTTTATAGTTTTTTGCACAAAGTTGAAAATTTGGTATTATATGGTTTTTGTTAGGTAATGAGCTTTCCTTTCATAAAATAAACAATAAACATTAAATAAACTAAGGAAAAATAGACAAAACTTACTAAAGTGTCCAGTCCTAATCTCTATTTTAGTCAGTGTATGTATTCCTCGATTCGAATAACAAGGCATTCAGATTAGAAAATAATAACTGTTTATGGTTAAAATTAGTATCATATATGTACCAACATCACTTAAAACTCGTTCATAGGCATGCCATTTTAATTAGCAGTTAAGGCGTCGAAACACCGAATACGGGACAAATACAGGACATTAAAAGAAATACAGAACATTTGGCGTCCCGTATAAAATAAATAAATTACCAGGACAATGGGTCAAAAAAGAGGACTGTCCCGTATAATACAGGACGGATGGTCAGCGTAGCTATATATATTACAAATTTCATTTAATTTTTGGAAACTTATTTAATTTTTTTTTAGACTATTGTTTGGAAAAGGAAAACATTATTCGTTTATTTCAATTTAATCTTCCTTTTGGTATAAGATTTTATTTTTTACAAACGAAAAATATATTTGTTATTTTAATTAGTTTTTTCTTTTAAGCGACTTCACAGAAAGGAGAAGATTATCAATTCGTCGGAATATTTTTTTTATGCTACCGCATAACTTTGGACCACGTTAACCGATTTTGTAATTCTTATTTTAAAGGAAATTTTTAAATGTGAGTTGAAGTCGGTTTTGGTTTTGGCTTAAAAATTATTTGTTGAAAATATCTTCATTTACTTTTGCTTTATTTCCATTTAATCTTTTCTTATTTTAATTTATTTTTTTTTTATTTATTAGTTTTTGTTGTTTAAAAAGAAAAAAAATATATTTTTAAATTTAATTTAATTTTTAAAAACTTATTCCTAAAAGCCAAACATCATAATGCTAAGCCCTGCTCGTTGGCAGATTTTTCAACTCGTGTTTCGAAAGACAGTAAAGATTTTTCAAGACAGTTGGCAGAATTAACAATTGTACCATATCTACACAACCGTATACAAAATAATCACTTTTGCGTGCTATCTAAGGAATGGCAATCAAAAACTGGTCGCACAAGTTGGAACCATACCATCTATACTCTAAAAATGAAATGTGTTCTGCTCCATTGCTGTGCATCAAACCAGTACCCAGTCAAATAGTATCATCTTGGAAATTTCGGTGAAGATCTAGTTGTAGAGAGAAGGTAATAAGCCCCAGCCGCAGGGGCGGTGTAGTATTAAGGGTGATACAAGGACTTTTAAATACCATTTCGAAATTTTATATATCCTATTGATACTTAACCTTATTATGGTTGACGAAAGGTGTATTTCTCGTGCTGCTTGGCTTATGAATGAGCTGAGTGTGGACAACCACTTCCCGCTTACAAAGTTGAATTTCATTTTTAACATATTCTGCTGAGTGGTAGTGTAGATATTACGTCTAATGATTTGGTTTGTAAGAATAGCTAAGGCGAAATTATACGAAAATAATTTTCCATGCACACCAATCTGCTAAATTTCGCCTTTGTTGAAGATTTTAGGACTAATTCTAAATTCACTCTTTTAAACATTTCCAGTTTTAAATTTTCTCTGGCGTTTGAGCTGAATTTGTAGATAGATGTATTTTGATGGAACATTTTATCCCGTTATATCACAGGTCTTCTAAATATTTTCTGCACAAAAAATGTCAGCTAAATTTTTTCTGTGTTTAACCTGATTTGCTTAATAGCCTAGCTGATTACTGCGCAATTGAAAATATTGGCGAAAATTTTTAGAGCAACACTGCTGTTTTTTATAT